TCATTGGTTGTGGCACGATAGCCTCGGTAGCGAGGCTGTTGTCTCCCACTGTAGTCGCCAGTGTGTTCACGTCTAAAGTTAATTTCTTTGAGGAATTCATTACAATATCTGGCGTTTACAACAAATTTAAAAAAAGAGATTGAAAAATTACAACTTTTAGAAAATACACGTAGAGAGATCGTTTATCGGTCTTCTACTTGTGGGGGATCTTTGCTGATGTCGAGGTTTATTCGTGGACCACCAAATGATCATATCCGATTAATTTCGTTGCCTTGTGAAGGAGATAAGAAATTGAAGTGAATATTTCAGCAACATTGAGATAAACACTCTTCTCGATATCACAGCGATGATGTGATCTTAAGGGAGACAAATGAACGAGGCTGAAGTGGCTGCAGATCTATCAAACTCTCCTCCTTTTTGTTAAAGAACTCGCCAAGAACTTGCTTCCTCCGTTGCTCCAAAATGCCCGATCCTTCTGAATGAAGACCCTAGGACTGTATTTATAGACTTCAGAAGCTCTATTTTCAGATAAGAACGAACGATTTGATCTTATCCTCAGTTGTAACCACTTAACCGTGTTCAAAGATAGCCTCAAATCCGTTAGAGAGGCTGTAGAATCAAGAAATCTCAAAATCTTATTAAAAATAGGTTTCTGGGTGGTTAACGGGCAAAAAAATAGCTTTTCTGGGCGTGAGACACTGCTGGTGTCTCATCCTTGGTCGAGACTTAGTGGTGTCTTGGCCATTAGTCGAGACGTTGTTGGCATGTTTCGATTGTTTCACCTCTAATTCTCCCGTCCGATCTCAGAATGACATGATTCATATTACATTAGAAAGCTGGAGAAGATCTACAACCTCCCCTGGGTGAAACACACGTGGAGTGAATGAGACACGAGTGGTGCTTCATCTTTCGTGGGTGAAACTCGAGTCGTTTCTTTGCTATTTTTCTGTCCCGTTGACTCATATGTTTCGTTAATTCTCTTCATGCACTTGTTAGCTTCCTCATGACATCAGATAATCTACATTGACTTGGATAATAATGTTCATTGTTTTTTTCGTCTCGAGCTGCATGCGGAAACCTATAGGTAATTTTTGACGTCTACAATAACCTATTTGACGGGAAGTTCCTGGAGAATAATATACATGACATTCTTAAGGATAACCCTGTGTGGGTTGATTATTCAAGATAAAGACCAGTAATCTAAATAATTTATTCTTAATTATTATAAAGATGATTAAGAACATCCTACTATGGCTATTTAATTATTTCTAAGTTGGTTAAAACCCTCCCACTTGGACTCCAAATTCTTCCAATGGTGAGACGAATTTGCCGAAGACCATGCTCGGTTTCTTTTGCGAAGGCTTATTTTCTTTCATTCAGTTCTTGGATGGTTTCAATTACCAGGGTCAATTCCACCAACTCTTGTTGTGACTTTCCAAGCACTCTTTAATGACTTCATATGGTCAATTTTTCCTCACGAAACTCCCATGGTTTAGGTATGGAATGCTTGATGATTTGTAGTCCTCTATCATAAAATCCCTCACTGGTCAAATCAATTGATGGTGGGTCCACCAAAATTCTTCATGGTTAAAATCCTTTAAACTCCCACTGTGTTTAGCCTTTAATATTCAGTCGACTGATGAAGGTCGGTCGACTGAGCAGAAACTTTTCAGTAATTGCAGACCACTTTATCGGTCAACTAAAAAACATGCACAACCTAGTTTAGAATAGTAATTCTGATTTTCAAAGAGCTTTTAAAAATAGCAAATAAATTTCAAAAATTATAAAACTTAGGAAAATATTTATAAACATGAATATAAACATGTTAGAAAATAAAATTTTAAAATATCATTCCCCGTTTGTGAAAACTCATTATTTTGCAAAATCTCAAAAATACGGATTCGTTTAAATACTTGATTTTGACAAAACTATTTCAACCAAGCTTTGAGACACTTTAAAATAGATTTATAGACTTGAGAAGATATATAAAAATATGTCATTAAGTCTATAATCCAAAAACGGGGATAAATCAAAAATAGATTTGTGTGTGTATGAATCTTGAGCTTTAACGTATTAACACACAAAATATAACTCCTAAACTAATATACCCAAGTTGATTTGTGTATGAAGCTCAATCTATGAATCTTGAGCTTTAAATCCACTCAACCTGAATACTTGTAGGAGAAAATAAAAAATACTAGAAAAAATGATTATAAATTGTTTGTTAATCATCAAAACTAGATTAGATAGTAGGCTCATAAACATGAGTCCTAACAAGTAAGCATTCATATAAAGCATTCATTTTGAGCATTAATGTAAAATAAAGTACCTTGAAACTCTCCTTAAAGTTTTGGTACATATGCCTAACACAAAACCTATGAGCAGCATCTGGTTGAGAATCTCCTACCGCTCTAATTAACGCCTATACATGTACAACAACATGTTAGAAAAATATTGATTTATCATAAAACAATAAGAAAGATAACTTATTAACCAAATCATTTACCTTTTGTTTGTCACTCATATAAGTTCACCCTTGCCCATCTCCATCGCCAATGTCTGCAACCAATAATTCCATAAACTACTTCCATGTAATGGTCCTCTCACCCTCAACAATTGCAAAAGCAAATGGATACATACAATTATTGTTATCTACCCCACAAGCAAATGGATACATACAATTATTTCCTCTCAAATGGCATGCATCTAACCCAATAAATAATCTACACCCATTTTTAAACTCATCCCTTAAAAGCTGAAAAACATATATAAATACTTTAGAACCTTGTTTCATTCTCTGATTCAGGGTAAACTTTCTTCACTTTCATTGTGGTCCCAAGATTTGATTCAACTAAGTCATTACAATAATCATACAAATTTGGAATTGTTGTACTTCAGAACCATTAATTTTTTCTAAACACATTGCCCTGGCTCTGTAAGCTGTACTCTTTGAGATTTGAAAATTGAATCTTGTTTGTATGTCTTCCATAATATAACTGGTCTAGTGTCTTGTCTGCGTAATACTAACGTCTAGTGTCTTGTCTGCGTAGTACTAACTCAAAACAATTTTTTGCACTAATTTAGCCATGCATTGTGTGTTGTATTGAGTCCTAATGCAACTATGTTCAGTATCATACCTCTTTACTTGCAATGTTGTCTGATCTTCCCCGTGTATGGCAAATGCATATAATTGCCACTCACAACCACCCCAACATATCAACCTCTGTCTCTTTGATTCATTCTTTTTATAAGGCACACTATAACCTCCCTTCATTGCATAATACTTCACTGTACTTTTAAATGTCTTTAAATCAGAAAATATTTGGCCAACTTCAAATTGTGGTATTGGTCCATCATCAAAACTAAATTCAGGATATCCAACATTCTCCTGCTCATCATTTGATTTTATGGGGATTTCAAATTGTCACCGTCTCCATAAACAAAGTCAAAATCATCTCTCATTACACAATGTTCTTTACGTCATTCACTTTTATTTCTTGGTTTAGTCTTTCCTCTTCCTTTCTTCTTTCTCTCATTACCTCCTTCCCCAACTCCATCAACTGCATTCTTATCATTGTGGTTGTCCAGATTTATCACATTAGTCCCACTAATATTACCATCTCCAATTTGTCTGCATCGGTCCATATCTCCTACAATTTGATCCCAATCATAGTCTAGTGTCCCGTATCTTCACTCTGTATCAACAAATCTTTTTTACTACTGCCATTGTCATTACCTCTCGCCTCCATCTAAACACATTAGAAATACAAACAAGAGAAATCAAGGCATAGTCAGCATACATTCAAAAACTTGCAAAAAGAAAAGGAATATGCAACATGAATTTAACCATATTTTATTTAGAAATATATTATCTGATAAAAAAATATGACCAATTAAAAAAACCTATAATCATATAACTTATAACAAATCATAATGAAAACTTTACCTTAAAAAATCATAATGAAAACTTGCATTATAATGAAAACTTAAGGAATATCATCATAATAAAAACTTTGATTTTGATAAAACAATAGAAAGAAAATTTCTTTGCTTTTTAGTTGAAATTCAAAACCAAATTGAGAACTTTAACATCGTAGCTATCAACAATGATTGTAGATGTATTGAAAGTCTAGCAACCTGGAAACTTGCACTCTACACGTGAAGTCATCTAGCAGATGAAGAGTTCATGGAAAGTATGAAATAAAATTATGTAAAATCTATGTTATTTAAGCCCAAAGTTAAGAAAATTTCTCAATTAATCAGTTCAAATCAACAAGAATTTCTTTCAACTTTAGCCAAATTAACAAACGACCACTAGAAAGATACTAAGTAAAACTGAATCCAAAATAAATGAAAAATTACCTCAAGATTGGGGTCTATAATGGATACAACACTATGAATGAGGGCTTTAAGTGGGCTCTTGGACGACGATAAGAACATCAGTCTCCTTCAAGACAAGAACCCATCGCCAAGAAACATATCACATTCCGAGCTAGGGATCGAATTGTAAGCGGATCTTCTTATCTATGATGATTTTCATTCTTATGTGGACACGGATGGTGAGGATTTTCAGAGGTTGAACTTTCATGCTAGTTGATCTCCATCAGGAGAGGAAATAAGCAGAAGAGATTTTGCCCTAATAATCTTTCCGAATCTCCTTAAGTGATCATAATATTCACGTGAGTTGCACATGACTACTTTCACAATATTCCAACTTTGCCCTGATCAAAATTTTGATTTTGGTGGTGCTTGGGATGTTAAATCACCAAAGGGGGCTGAATAGAATCAAAACCAGAACAATAGATGCTTGTGAGACTGGAAAAATAGAATGAGGGCTTAATATAGATTTATAGAGCAAACAACATGAGCTTATTTGAATCTGAGTTCAACAAAAATACCAATTTCGTAATTTAGCCTTACAAAAACTAATGATTTCGAAATAATTATCCAACTGTGATAAACAATTTTCCACAATAAACCAATTTTCCATAAATATTCAGCTGAAGAAAAAAAAAACCATCCCTAATTACGAGCAAAGCATAAAGCCACTTCATAGTTGCCATCCTCGTAAACGACAATCGAAAGATCCCCAGGCGGAGCACCGCATCCAAAACGCGATCCCCCCTCTCGATTCCGGTCACCTCCCTCATCATCCCTCCCCAAACCCTAACCCTCTCTCCTCCGAATTCCCTTCAATCATTCATCATCAATGGTTCACAGCGCCTACGATTCAGTCGAGCTCGTCAAAGCCTGCCCTGCAAAGATCGAAACCGTCGCCGTCTACGATTCAAAGCTCATCCTCGGATGCAGCGATTGCTCTCTCCGCATCTACGCTCCTCCCTCCGGCGACGACGGCGACGGAGAGATCAGGCGAGGGCTCTATGAGCTGGAGAAGACGGTGACTGGATTCTGGAAGAAGGCACCGGTGGCGATGGAGGTGTGCAGGTCACGTGACCTGCTGCTGTCTCTGTCGGGCAGAAGAGGGTCGGAATCTATAGGCTTGATGGTAAATTTTTATTTTTTATTTTTATTTTTTGTGATTTATTTTGTGAATTTTGATAGAGAGTACCAATAATCTGCAGAAATTTAGTGAATAATGCTAATATTCGATGAAGGTAAGCATGTGGAAGCCACAATCGAGAAGTGTGGTAGAGTAGAATAAGCTGATAGAAAAAGAAATTCTGTTGCCTAGAACTGATGTTCTTTCTGTCTCTCACTTTGCGGATAATACACCTCTATTTACATTAAGTATAATAGCATTAGGGTACCTAATGAAAACAGGGTTTTAAGGAATATGACAGTTGACACTAAAACAAGATAAGAAACTTTATAAAATCAATTGTAGTAAAACTAAGAAACATAATACTATATAAACACATTAAAATCATGTTTCGGTTGCTATTTAGACATCATTCTGATTTGTGTTTGTTATAAAAAAGAAAAGATAAATGCTTTTCCTTACCTGAGAGACTGCAAGGCAAGCATAGCTTTGCCGAACTTTTGAAATATATATGTACATTTGGTATGGCAACATTTTCTGATTTTGTTTTCTCTTGTGATGAGACAACAATAATACATTCCCTAACCATTTGCAATACATTCCTTAGACCAGTTGTATATTTATTTGAGTCGGCACTGATTAATTCTTCTCTTTGCAATGAATTCTTAGGCTTTACTTTAATTGTTGATAGGTGGTCGAGAGTTTGTGGAAGTGAAGGAGTTTGGCGTTCCGGATACAGTGAAGTCAATGGCCTGGTGTGGGGAGAACATATGTTTGGGGATTAAAAAAGACTACATGATAATGAACAGTATAACTGGGGCATTATCAGACATATTCCCTTGTGGGAGGCTTACTTTGCCTTTGGTTGTCCCACTTCCTTCTGGAGATCTACTTTTGGGAAAGGTATACAAATTTTGTTGCACGCAATGCGTGCATGATATGATACACCCTTGTGCATAATAAATAAATTGTTGAACACATTAATGATTGATATTAATACATGTATTACAAAATGTTCCACAAAATAATATAAATGTATGATATTTCAAAAGTAGGGTAGTTATGAAGTAGTGAATAGCTTGTTAGTTATGAGATAGTGGGGTTAGTTATAAAGAAGATTGTTGTTAGCCTTTTTCCAAATTATGTCTTTTTTAAGCTGTAAATCATTGGAAATTGTATGGTATAATTTTGGGATATGTTTGAAATTTTTCTCGAAGGTGACTTGTATGGGGGTAGAACACCCAAAAATACTTTTCTTAGATAATAGTAATAGATAGATAGTGCACATGCATTGCACATGGATATTTTTCTTTCATGTTTTAATTTTTTTTCTTAGGCATGAAATATGAAGCGACTCAAATCTTCATGATTGCCAATATACCTCCAAATCTTCCATAATTGCATGTTTAGCCCCTAAATCTTTGTAATTGTCAATATATCTCCTGGGAAAAGGAGAAAGACAAAGGAGTTGTGGTAGTTAGGAAGGAGAGGAGGGTTATTTTTGTCAACTAACTCATACACTATTAATATAGCAACTTTGTTGCATTTGGAAGGTATTAGTGGAATGCGTTGCATTTGGAAGGTATTAGTGGAATGCATGCGTATTGCTGCACATGGTAAAATAATTTTATTCTTTATTTTAGATTTAATATATTTTATGGTTATCGTATAATATATTGCACTAAATATATCAAAAAAATGAAATTTTAACCTCTACTTAATGATGATAAGAAAGATTCTTTGTTTCCTTGAGCTACATCCTAACAGATATCATTTTCAACTTAAGTTTCAGACACTGGTAATACATGATTAACTCTATCTTTACTTGACCTGAGCTCTTGCACAGTCAAACTTGACCGAGCAAACGTAAAATTCTAGCTGTATGATAAAAATTATTTTATTCACTGCAAGGTTTTAAATATCGATTATCAGGAATTTATCAGATGGTTAAAATCCATATCAGATAGAGGATATGGGGATATATCGAGGATAAGTAGTATTTATTGGAGTGACCTTACCTGATGGTGATATACAATATAATATTCTAAAATACAATCCAACCATACTTAATGAAATATAAACATACCAAAATGTAAATAATTATGTTTAGGATCACGAACCAGTGGTAGAAAGTCGGGTCGGGTCGGGTTTAAAGTGCATCGAGTAGGTGCCTGTTGTTTGAAATCAAAACTCAAACCAAAGGCCGATAATTCTGATTTTTGGGCCAATAATATCGGACGATAACTCACTTAATTGCTGCATTATCAGCGATAAACATCCAAAAAAGATAACTGATTTAAAGTTGAACTTATCATAACTGAAGGCCCCCAAAACCAATAAATCATCGATAATATCGGCTTGTCGGCGGATATTTAAAACATTGTTCACTGGTGAAGAAATCTTTGTGGGAGAAAGAAATTGGAATGGGAATAAATAGATTTATTGATATTTGGCCTGTTGCTTGTTCAAAGAGATGCCTATATAAAGGCTTAAGCAAACTAATTACAGGAGAATTCTAGAATAACTCTTAACTAAAGATAAAGTAATTAAGATTCTATAGACAACTCCTATAAAAAAAATTCTCAAGGATTCATAAATCCAAATTAAAAGTGATTTAATCAAATTTATCATATTTATAAAGATAAAAACTAACATGTAATTAAATTTGGATTAACTTTGAATTTATAAATAGAAAAGGTTGGAGGGCTCAGATAGAGGGCTTAGATTTCTTGATTAAATCTTTTTAATCAGATATTGTAAAGACTTTTTCCTATACCTGATCCAAACAAACTCACCAGATACCTTCAGAACAAGGGATGTAATGTAGATCAAATCCAAGGTTAGTCACGTAACCGACAAAAATTAGAGATGGGTTTTTGTTGTTTATATTAACTGTTTGATGGAATGCATGAGTGAGATGAATTCTGGTGGGTTGTTTGACTTTGTAATCAGATAATGTAAAATAGTTTTTCTTAACAATAACTGGATTTGTTTGTTGATGATAATAGAACTATCCAATAGCGTTTTTATACAGTTGCTATTAATGCACATTGTCCATCGTCTCAAGACTGAAGGTTTGAATTTTTTTTTTTGTATTAATTAGGATATGATGTGATACCAACATAATATTCAAAAGGGTCAGTGATGAAAAGATTTTCTCAAACTCACATTTTTAAAGGGAGTATGATTATTATGGTTTAAACATTATTTATGTTGGTATCTTTTCTCTCTGCCTTGTAAAATTTATAAAATAAGCCACATTTCTTTAAGATTTTATTTGTAGAGCTGTAGTTAAAGAGAGATTCTTTATGAAGTTGCATGTCCAATTTCTCAAACTATTTTATCCATTTGCTCTTATGCTAGGTCCACAAAGATTATCACTTAAAATTTTGAGTAAAAATTATCATGAGCAGATGGTAGCTTATACCCCTAATTGTTAGGCCTAAAAAGGCAATGACTCTCCATGATCTTAAAGCCAAGCTAGACAACAGAAGAGTTAGAGATTGGGTGAAAATTTAAATCTGATGCAAAAGGTATATGTCATTATTTTTCTTGTCAATCTAACGATCTGGCTAACTGACATCTCTCTGATTTTAACTTCATTCAACCTTTTCCAATCAGTAGATCAGTAAAACTACTCATTATTGATATGGTGAAGCTGACATACAGTTGCTTTCAGCTTTCATCTTGTTTGTTGGTTTTCTGCAGGAAAAGCTTCAGTTTTTGTAGATAAATTCTTGCATATTAAATGACTATTTCATGCTGATTTTTTTCGTCTTAATTCCTGATGAACTTTTGTTTATAGGACAACATTGGGGTTTTTGTTGACCAAAATGGAAAGCTTCTACAAGATGGAAGGATTTGTTGGTCTGAGGCTCCTACATCTGTGGTTATTCACAAGCCATATGCTGTAGGTTGCTTATCAAAATATGTTGAGGTCAACACATCTCTCTCCTTGTTAATCATACATATTTCTTCCATCCAAAATTTATGCATGGTGTCATGTGATGTTAATTTATTTGTCTGACTATTTCTGTAGATCCGATCTCTTAGATCTCCTTATTCATTGATTCAGACAGTTGTACTGCGAGATGTTCGTCTTATTCTTCAAAGCACCAATTCTGTGATTGCTGCTTTAAGCAATTCCATTTATGGTCTGTTGCCTGTCCCTCTTGGTGCCCAGGTAGTTTTTAAAATAATATTTATGTTTGTGTTTATACCAAATTCTTCTCGAAGCTGTATGCATTATCACCTGAAGAACCATTACATGTCAAATGTCCAATTCTCTTCAAAGTTAAGAACTTCTATCAGTTTACCTCTAAACTTTGATCTAGTTCAGTTAAATATAGCAGGAAGGTTACGCAAGTACCTCCTAGTGTCATGTAGCCAAACGAGTTTTGCATAACAGTAGTTAACTTTTTCCGTTAATAAATAGTATGTAGCTGTTATATAATATGTCCTGCTAAAGTACTCTATGTCTTTAAAGGATATTTGTCACTCTTTTGGTCTTCACGGACAAGTGAAATAACATTTCAAGTTCACTTGAATATATTAGATGGTAATCTTGATTTTGAAGAAATATACTTTTGTAATCTGCGAATGTATTGGTGGATTCGGATAGGAATATTAATTTAGCCTTTGACATCTTTTTGGCTAAATTACTAAAAGACTTAGTTTTTTTTTATAGAAAACTACCCTCCGGATTTGTTTTATATCAACTTTTAACCACTAACTACGGAAATTTTCTTATTCATTCATGACACTAATAATCATTATCTAAAACATCACCCATAACCTTTCTTTATTGTAAAAGCCTATTTCCATCCTTCCTTTCTTCCTTATCCTCTTTCTTCCTATTCACACTCATTGAAAACCCATCCTGTTGAGACCTGTTCACAAGCACTGCTCTCCAAACTCTTAAAGTCTAACACAAAAACTTTCCATTTTATCGTTCTATCAAAATCCTTTTGCACGGCTACCTCTAGACTCATAATAGGAGTCCCCCATTTTAAAATAGCATCTTTAATTTACTTTGGGCAAATGGCAAAGAAAAGAGGGCCTGGAATTGTTGGGAAGAAAGAAAAGGGAGGGAGGTGGGATTATCCTGAGTAGGAAATAGTGGCGGAGAGTGATGAGGCTGGAATCCAAGGGCTAGGATTTGTCAGATCTCGCCATATGGGTTACCAACCATAGATCAAGGTGGACAGAAAGTTTTAGTAGAAAGGGAAGAAGGATTTCCACAAAGTAGTCTTCTTCTTATATTTTTAAAATAGGGGTTGTTTAACAAAATTGTAAAAAAGTTAAAATATGGCCCAACATCCGTCGATGTCCCATGGTATTTACTTGTAAACTGGATTGGAGGGATTCATGGAATTTTAGAGGAAATTGTGCGCGATAATCAACTTGGTGATAGTTTTCTAGAAGATATTTGAAGCTTCATAAAATTGCTTTGTAATTAAGCCCTTTTCCATGTATGCTAACTAGAACCTCAACAAGATTAGTTTTCAGATGATCACAAATGCTCATGTACCACTAGCTGGAAATGCAAAGTGATCAAGGCCTCATGGGTGTTTGGAGGAGCTTATTTTTCCATCAAAGTAGCTTTTAAATGGGCTTTTCTATATCTACCTGTTTGGTAGCATCCTATACAAGCTAGCTTAAGTACCATTTTAAAAAAGTTAGGATTAAATTTTGAAAACTTAACTTATAAACTCGCCTAAATAAGCTAGGTTTGGGCAAGCAAATTAGCATTCTTCTCGTTCAATTTTTATAAAAGTTTTATCATAAAAGTCAAGTAACATAGTCTAAAATCTTCTAAAAGTAAGCTGTTCTGAGCACCCTCTAAAGTGACTGACAGAGAGGGTTTTTTTAGCATTTAAATCCTTGTGTTTAAGTGACAATGCAATCAATCTGTGGCATTCTTCTTATTTCCCACCGGTTTTGTTCATTTGCTTCCATATATCTGATCACTTCACCCAAAAATTTTAGACTGACAATTGCAGGCAAGAAAGGAACACTTGTTGAACAATTTTCGCATTTGTTATAATCCTCTCCTCCCCGAAGTCCCAACAACCACCCAACCATCAACAACACTTTGTACTCCTCAAAAGAAAAAAAAAGGAGGGGGCCATAAGCCTATGCGGAAGGCTCCTATCAGAAAGATGACATTCTGAAAAAGAAGGATAACCTGAGTTAATAAACCTCTTGCCCTAAAGCTACGAAACTTGGTATGCAGCGAAAAATGCAGAAGTAAACCTTATCCTAATTATTCTAATTCAATTGCCGATTTTAAACATATTGCAATTTGATTCTGTATTAAAAATTTTAATTTAATTATGCAAATGTCTATTCATGAAGTCAGTCACTAGTATTTTTGCTCAAACAATTTTTTATATACTCATCATACTATTGGATGTATATGGTACCTTTGTTAAATGCATAAGACATACCTGTTGAACCTATACTTATTCTTCAACAATTTTTTGAGGCTTGATGAGACGCATCAGTTATAGGATGCTCTGTATATTTACCAGTAAGGAAGCTACATTTTTAGATCTCTTATTATCTGCTAGCCAATTCATTTTGAGGCAGGGGTCTGCACCTTTGTTCTCAAAAAGACAAAGAAAGAGAAAAAAAAGCGATTCATTCTTTTTGTTGCTTGAGTGATGTGCAAGCACGCAACTTGATATGCAGTGAAAAATGTAGAAGTAAAACTTGATATGCGGCGAAAAATGCAGAAGTAAACCTTATCCTAATTATTCTAATTCAATTGACGATCTTAAACATATTGCAATTTGGTTCTGTATTAAAATTTTTAATTTAATTATGCAAATGTCTATTCATGAAGTCAGTCACTAGTATTTTTGCTCAAACAATTTTTTATATTCTCATCATACTATTGGATGTATATGGTACCTTTGTTAAATGCATAAGACATACCTGTTGAAGCTATACTTATTCTTCAACAATTTTTTGAGGCTTGATGAGACGCATCAGTTATAGGATGCTCTGTATATTTACCAGTAAGGAAGCTACATTTTAGATCTCTTATTATCTGCTAGCCAATTCATTTTGAGGCAGGGGTCTACACCTTTGTTCTCAAAAAGACAAAGAAAGAGAAAAAAAGCGAGTCATTCTTTTGGTTGCTTGAGTGATGCGCAAGCACGCAACCAATAATGACCAGATGGATCTGAAGTCTCTGAGATTTTTGTTTTCGAGACCCCTTTCAATGCATTGAGTGGATACAATGCAGTCCCATTCTGACAATAGTTTGTGTGAACTCATGGCATGCTCCAGATAAATTAGGAACCCCTTTGTTGCGACTTATGTATGAATTGTTCTTTTTGATGGAGTAGGATCATTAGGTAGCAGAATTTTATGGACCATTTTCCTACATAATTTGAATCACCTAATGGTTAGGGGAACATGTCTTGAGTCAGGATCCTATTTGAAGTGAAGTTATTCTTCTGAGATTAGCATGATGAAAAGCATACATCTTGAAATAATAGTTTCTGCCTCTGAGGTCAACATGTTATCTTAAAATTCTGTGAAATTCAATACAAAATATCAGCGTAAACTCATCAGTTTAGTGATATTTTTAACTTGAGCTAGCATTGACATCTTTCTGATGACTAATACCGTTAGATGTTACGTTATGGTTTATTTTCATTGGACTTCAGAAATTATGCATTAAAACTTGTTGTCATATTTATATATAGAAAACCTCCATGTGTTCCCATCTATTAAACTCTCATTCAAAGCTTTTGACTAGTATCAGATCTAGAAGTTCTTTACAGTGGTGCTGTATTATTTGTGTCTAACAGTACATTGACTTGTCTATTGTTAAAGATGTCATGATCTAAGAAAAATGCCACTTATAACAAGTTAACTGTGTTTGACATGCTTGAAAATACTAGCAGTTATGTTGGCCACTTACTAGAGCAAGTAATGTTCTTTGATGTATATCATTTCATGTGTACATTGTGCATTCTATTTCACAGATTGTACAGTTAACTGCATCTGGAGATTTTGAGGAGGCATTGTCGTTGTGTAAGCTCCTGCCACCTGAGGATTCAAGTCTCCGAGTAGCGAAGGAAAGCTCAATACATATGAGGTAACTATTTTGTTTGCCTCATGTATATAACATCAAATTTTGGAAAAACTTCACTGGTGTGATACATCATGATTGGGATGTGGTGAACGTTAGCGTGTAGTCAGTTTTTTATTTTAGAGGTAAAATCTGACGTGAGCAGTAGTTCAATATGTAGGAAAAGACAACTTGTAGATTTCAAGCATTTGGTGTGTTTTTCACCCTCTTCAAGACATTTGGGTCCCTCTGTAGGATGGAAAGAGATCTTGAGTTCAAGGATGAACTTTGGTAGAAGCAAACTGTCATTGGTGTTTTCATCCTATATACATAAATACATAATTCAAACTTTAAACTTATGCAGGCTGTAATTTGGTAAGATTTGGCGTCAATTTGGTCTTTAAGCGCGATCAATGCAAATAAGTAACTGATCAACTAAATTACCTCTAATAGGATAGTTAGGAGTTCAATCAAGCTAAGATTTAATTAGAAGTTACCTTTGACATTTGCAGTTTTAGTCAAAATATGGGAAGGATTATCATATTTCTTAATCGAAGTCAAACCTTTAAAGAATTAACAGGACATAGGGTTTCCCTATTGTAGAATCTCTAATTGAGAGGGAGAGAGAAAGACAGGGAGAAGAAGTATGTATTTGTGTATAAAGGATGTTGAGATATAACGTATGTGTATAATTAAACATGTGCATATAGAGAAAGATACATATGCCATTTTCTGCAAATTATTTGCACGATTACAATATTTTATTTCCATATTTATTTTCGGTTGTTTGAGTATTTCTCTGCTTATATTTGTCTATCTGTAATTATACCTTGTAATGTCAATCTCCCTAGAGTTCTCGTTTACCCATTTAGTGTTGCAAAAATAAGAATTAGTATTTCTTATACACACGCTGCTGACTTATTTAATCTCATCTAATGGAAGTGTTCCATATTTCAAGTACCTTATATAACTGTGGTCTCGTGTAAATGCTTCTTAACCCCTGTTCTCCAATAACATGTGTATTTGATAAACGCCAACCTCAGGCTAAGTTGGGCTCTTCGCTAATTGTTCCGCCTTGATTCACAAAAGGACATATGTTCTATTTGAGAAATGTATATACTGAAGTCTGAAAGCGCAGGAAGGATTCTTCTCACATCCGTTGCTGGGACATTAATATAGCTAAGAATTAATAGCTAAGAATTTTATGCTTGTTGTAGTTACCATTCTTTTATCTTTGTACTGATGGGGACATCCGGACGCGTACACGAGATTTTCGCCGAGTTTATCAGCGCAGGAGGCGCCATGTTGCAGCATTATGGTTTTGAATTCAGTTGTAATAAATTAGTTTGAATTTTAAATTTTGAATTTCAAAATTTCGAATTTTGATTTGGTAGTTATTGAACTGATGAATGAAATTGATTTGCTAATTAATGGTGTGAAACCCTAGCTTATTGATTTTTGATCAGCCGTCATTCTCTTCCTCAAAGAAAATCAAATTTTGTACTGTTCATCGTCTTCTTCCAGCAACCAACTTCCAAACCCACAAACGAATCCACCCCCTCTCCTCATTCGGCTCAAGCAACCACCCTGACCTCCACAACCGCTGCCAACATCAACCCCCTCCTCCGCCTAAACCCTCACCTCCGAATCCCCAACTCCAGCAACCGCCCAGCACCACCCGACCAGGCCGCCGCTGCCTTCACCCGCGTCGCCGTCCACCCAGGCCGCCACCGCCTTCACAGATATTGAGAACAGATCCAGTTACTTAGCCCATTACATATTTGAGTGGTCACTTTGGTCAGATCTGACCCGAATCAAAATAGTTCAGATCTGTTTAGTTTGGGTTCAGTTGTATTGATCTGCAGTTGTGATTGTTCGACTCTGTTGTTCGTTGGTGTATGGCTGATCCTGATGCTGATGATGGAATCGTGCTAGATCCAGAGACCGGCATCGCAGATTTACAGCTTTCTCCGTGGTTTGATTATCAGTCATTCGAGAGCGTGCCCGAGTACGTGGAGCGTGTGACCCATCAGATCGTTGACAGCGTAGAGAGTAGTTTGGGAATCAGCTCGTGGCATCGGCGTTTCCATCCAGATACACCGCTCCACCCGAATTACGCCGCCCTCGGTGGAGAGCTTCCACCCCTCATATTTGGTGTCGTTGAACCACCACCAGAGGATCCTCCCGTCGAACCGGTACAACCCGACGAAGGTTTAACTTTCTTTCGCCCAAATATTTTCGGAACTGCTATTGCTTGCATGTTGCTATCAATATTATTATCGATCGTATTTGTGTTGTATTCAGTTTGATTAAGTGAGCGAGCGAATCTGTTGCCAAGTATTTCTGCTTATCTAAATATTACAATTTGAACTGTATTGAGAGAACGAATCATTACATTTATTTTCTGGATCATTTACAAAAGATTTGAACTTAGTACATTGCAACTTTTGCTTAAAACCCATCGAAAGCTACAATTTGTTCTTGAGCTTCCTGCCTAGATCGATCGCTGATTTGGCGAAGCATTGTTGTCATTAATCTTCATACCTGCATCACATTGTTTCGCATCAGTTCCACTTTGGCATTTGCGAAGCACCTCATAGTTATGCCAGAGGGAGGGGTTAAATCCTCATGCAATGTTATATCCTATTTCCTAAAAACTGAATCTCAGCAGTGTAGCAGGGTAGATGATCTACATATTCCCAGTCCTTGACGTAATTCTTAGTGAAAGCTCAAGTTAAGTTTTTGTCAGCATAGTTTTAACCTGGCTTGCAGTATATCAACTATAACAAATATCTAAAGGTTCGAGTGAATTTATATGGAGTTGTGGAGTCCAGAGAAAAAAGCATAACCAAGGAGGTTGAAGGAGAGTACTCTCGGTTATTGATGGGATCAGGACGTGACATTCCAGATGACTAGTATCCATATATCAGTTTGTGAGCAGTAATATCTACTATAGCTTTTTGTTAGGGACTTACATTCCAAGAACCTTGATAAAGGACAGAGGGATGAGTTGTGTCATTAGATTCACAACTCCTACTGTATGAAGGGATCTAGTTCAGCCATGTCCAAACTAGAGCATGCTTTAAGTGAGTCTGAAGAACCATGCATTATATCTGATGAGATCATTTCAGCTGTGGTCTGGCATGCTAGGTGAAAATGCAAAAAACATGGCTAGAAGGGACGTTGTGTAAGGCATAACTAGGACATGAAACTTATAAAAAATTATTTTTATATGTTATTGATGATTTAGAGAGTCATGTGTAGTCAAGGGGTGGTGATATGTTTATTGAAGGGAAACCATAAAAGGTGGAAAATGTACAAAACATGTTTGGATTATGCAAGTCACAAGTGTTGAGGATCGACGTCGTCTTGTTTGGCTCAGAAGCCTGCTCTAACAGTCTGATCTCCTTCAACTGTGCACCACCATGAACACAAAGGGGAACGCACAGATCTACCCTACACAAGTCACTCACAAAGAGGAAAGGGAATTCGCACAAAGGGCTGGACGGGAAGAGAGGATCACACAAAGGGTGAGAGCACAAAGCTCACAGGACCACAAAGCTCACAGAGGGTGGAGATCGCACACAAGCTAGGGCACAAAGCTCAAGTTCTCTTCCTCCTTCTTCCTCTCTTCTTCCCACCCCGAGCTACTACCATGCCCTTCGACTTAAATAGAAGAAGGGGGCAACCAACACGAGAGGAAAAAGCTAGGGTTCAAATGGTAGGAGCCGACCTACATGGTATGGGAGATGGGACTCCAAGCGGCAGCAGCGCAGGACACATGATGGAGGGGGGCAACCGACAGAGGGTTGAGTACCATCGGGTATGAAGAGAGGAATAGAGGGGGCTAGGGCAAATCAGGTGGGAAGCTGGGCCACTTTGTAACAGGCCAACTTATTAGGCCAACAAAAATAACAACAATCTCCACATTTGGCCCAAGGTAGTGCACATAAGAAAACACAAAACTGCAGGACTCATAATCGCCAAATCATTACATGTATGATCACAAAGAGGATACAAGCAATGGAAGAGAATACACAAAGTAAACTCAGATCACAAAGATCGGGGTAAGATCACCAAACATACCAAGTCCACAAAGGATCGAACTCTACCAAACGGTCATCGAGTTCAAAGGGAAAAAAATCACAAAGCTACTAACAAGCACAAAGCAAGTTAATAGGCCACAAAGGCAACACACAAAGCAAAGGGGGAAAAATTTTACCCAAAGTCGAAATTCAATGCCAAGTCCACATAGGACCGAACTCTATAAGTCCTAGGTTCATTGCACTCAAGGGATGCAAACACATTAAAGGCAAACTCAGACATATTACAATCAATCAAATTGCAATCTCTATATCTCTCAAGTTTCCTACTAGTTCTTTTATTTCTATCCCTAGTGAGTTGATAATCATTCAAATCGTGCATGTTATTTATTTCCTGCATATCATGCTCCACCTCATTTGGAATAATCTCATCTTGATTTTCAATAATTATATCTTCAGGATGTGATTCAGGTTGATTAATAATAGGCATTTGCTCCACCTCATTT